TTCTCAGAGTCTTTCTTTCTCAATGAAATATATCAATGAATTATCTCCTTAAATATCTGCCACTTGTCCACTTTAACAAACTCTGACTTCATGCCCATGGAACTGCTTTTATTTACATCTGAATGCAACCGTTTTAGATCTAGATTTCTCATTCTCAAATCGAATGTGAAATTAGATCATATTATGAAAGCTCTTGCCTAGAACATCCTTCAACTGTGAGGTCATTACTTCATGCTCTTTCATTAGTCATTACCAGGTCTATATGGTCTGTTCCCTGGTTGGTACCAAAATGTATTTTCCTAAGAAACTGTCTCGAGTGCTCTCTATAAACTTATCCTCCAGGCTACTCTGTTAATTTGTTTTGTCTGGAAGAATAAAAGATAAAATAGGCTATGATTACTGCAGTACCTTTTACAAGCTTCCATTATTTCTCAAGTTATATTCAGTCTTTTAGATAACTGTAATTAGGGGGCCTATGAACTACTCCCATTAATGGATTTCTTCCTTTGCTATTTCATATCTCTACTTAAAGTGATTCTATTCCTTGATCATCTGAACAAAATCATTTCTGACTATGTATTGATCTTATCCTTTATTAATAGAGCAGGACTACCTCGGTTTTCTTTCTTCCTGCCCATTCAAAATGTCAATGTCCTTAAACATTTAGGTCTGAGCCTTGGTCACCTTACAAACATGCCTGTAGTGTAATTTATTTCTTTGTACTATCAACTCACCATTCTTGTTATGAATGCTGCGATTGTTCAGATAATTCTGTCTTTGTACCATTTCTTCCCCACTTTGACCTTATTTGTTGGTGCACTTTTCTGTTTGTAAGCTCTATGTTTTCCTGTTACATGCTGGTTATCAGTTCCAAGTTGCTACCATGCTATCGTTAGCATCCAAGTTTCCACCATGTGAATCTTCCCCTACCCTACTAGTTAGTTTAAAAGTCTCTCTCCAGACCTAGTTATACGATTTTTCAACAGTCCGCTGACTAAACCTGTCCTAGTAGTATAGCTGCCTCTTTCACCATTACTACTGCCAGTTTTCCATGACTTGAAGATAACAAGGTGTAGAGCTGGATGAACACAGCAGGCCAAGCAGCATCAGAGGAGCAGGAAGGCTGACGTTTCGGGCCTAGACCCTTTAT